CAGATTTTCAAGCGTGGTCGTAAACATTACCTCGTTTTCGTGTTTTTGAACTCTATTCGTTAGTTTTCAGTTGTGTTTCGGAAACTTAAATATAAATCAGATAATTCAATGATCCCTTGTCTTCCTAGGAGTTTTAATTTAATTGCAGTAATAAAAAATTATTGTAGAAATAGCTATGATAGACATAGGAATAGACTAAAATTCTCAACCGGTACTTTTAAAAAACAGATTGTTGTATGCGATGAATCATATTGATGGTTTGAAACACATACCCCATTTTACAGGCGTCAACCCGCAAAAGCACTCTTAAAATAGACCGGAAAATTTTGCAATGGTAAAGCATTGGAAGAATTTTTCGGGGGTCAAAGGTTCATTGCCTTTAATCATCATCAAACAGATCAAGAATCAAATCAAATCACAAAAACAAACAGGAAAACAAAAGTATATAACACACATTCAAATCCTATCACACATTCCCTCCCTTAAAATTTCATGATCTCCTGGTCATACTGTACACGCAAAGTATCAAAACTGGAGGTATACTAAAGTAACACTATCACAAAAATCAATCTCAAAACGAAAAAATTGCTGGTAACCATATTTTGTATAAACGCCTCGAAATGTCTTCTGCAGTCTGACTTTATTAGCCAATACTGTAAGTATTCCAAAAAGAGTCAGTTACCACTAATAAGTAACTATTGTCGGAGCTCGCCACGGGTAAAGCACAGACTACTTTAATCCAAATATTTTGCAGAAGCCGCAACTCGCTAGATGTAAGTGAAGGAGCTCTTGGATTTGTAGACGGAATTTTAGCTGATTCACAAACTTTACCACAATTATTATCAATACCCAAACGTTCGCCTTCGTGACAATTATCATGCGTCAAACGCACAATTTTATTTATCATTGATTCAGAAACCATCAACTGTAAATAAAACAAATCCAAAATTTCAGAATCACCCACTCTTCCATACATCCGCGATTTTTAACAACTAGGTTAATTTACCAAATTGGCCCAACAAATGTTTTAAAGTTGGAATCGTATGATTAACCGTTTTAAAAGAAAGCCATTAACATGAAACAATCTAATGAAATACCACTGACAAATTTGGGTCAGTTTTTTGCATTGCACTCAGATTGCAAATCTGCTCAACCCAACTCTCGACAAAAATCTCTGGAGTTTCTCGTTTCCCCTCGTATGTCAAAATCTATCCTCCACGGAAAGTCCAAACGAGCACACATTTCAGAAGATGTCTTCGAAGGGGCTTTCTACTGATTGCGACTGCATTTCCATGCTTCACAAAGCGGTGGTTGCTGTCTAAACATTTATTATTTGAAGTACTTCGAATTTTGCACATTGACGAACTTCACTCGGGCAGAGGCACTTCTAACGGCAACCGCCGCTCTTTCTTTCCCCTACAAGACAAAGTCTGCAATTTTTGTGCCGTGGAAAATTGTTCAATCGCGATTCAAAATATTTTCGCGGTTACATTTACCGAAGATATCTCCAATTTTATTGCAACACGGTCAGTCTCTTTCAAAATGTCTAACATTATTATCTCGATAGATTCATCGGCAGTTGCGTATTGAATCGTTGGATCCCCGGGGCTCTTTCAAGTGCTTTTTTGCTTTGATCCAACCTCTCAAATCTCATTTTTATTTCGTGACGCATGCGCATAATTTTGTTTAAAATGGAATCTCTCTCCTCATTTAATTCGCAACTAGACTTCGCTGTTTTTGATACATTGATATAATTAATCGCAATCTCATCATTCGGATCACTGTCTCCGGTTGCCATAAATAGTCATATTCTAACGGCTTCATGAAAATCCATGCGCTTTCTTTTGCAGTTGTTTTCTGTATTATGTGAACAGTTGCCCTATTAGAAAATCTTCTCATTAAATAAGGTACAAAATCTGGTTTTCGATATCACTATAGCAACTAACCCCCAAATGTACCCCATTTCATGTTGAAATCATCAAAACAAAGTTGATTTTTCCCAAAATTTGAACAAAGACTTTCGTAGGAATCAAATTACACCAGTTTTAAGAACATAACATGTTCCACCCAGTCATTATCAAATTAAAATTTATATTCTCAAGAGCTTTGGCACTGATTGAAATAATTATATCTAAGTTCCCATCCGTACGATGTACATAATTACCCGGTTCCATTACATTTGAACCCACGTACATTTGAACCCATGACAATTGCACCTGTATGCTATTGCACCTATGGAATTTTTTTTGTTTCACGGATAGTTAAACCCATACTAACCCTAACCCATGGGTTATAGCACCCGCATATAGATTGAACCCGTGGATATACGCATGGGTTCAATTGTACATGGGTTCAAATGTACGGTCACCAATTACCCTTATTGGGATAATAGGAGTTTCTGTTTATAACGTGAATCACAAGCTCGCGTTTACAGTTTTTAATTAGATTTATGATCAACGTATAAATACGACTCGATATCTTTCAATGTTAAGCTAGTGTGGATAAATGTTTTAAGATTTGTATTCTGTGTGTTGTGGAAATCTACGAATAAAAACATATAGAGATTTTTAACGCATCTTCATTTACGTGGGCATTGGAGCTGAAGGGTGAACGGGCGACTTGCAAGTCAGAGACAATCTACGAAATAGCAATATACGGTACATCATATTCATTTACCAATCATACATGCTATAAATGGAATCATATATGCTATACCACGATCGGACAGATAAGATAAGTCAATATCTTTGATTTGGTTAATCAAAATATATCTTATTGAACAGTTCCTGCCTCGACTTATGCAAACACGATGTCCCAGATGCACTCGACCTCAAATCTAAACAAATAATCTTCATATGCTTTCTCGACTCTCAGCGCAATAAGAATCGAATTCCCTCTTAAATTGCTCAAAATCTTCTTCTTAGTAACATTACACTAAGCGCATATCTCACGCCGTAGTGATATTTTTCAGCTCTTAAGCTGCGAAAATATTTAATTGCTATTGTAGAAAAATGCAAAAGCTCATCTTTGTATGTCAGCTTTATTTCCTAGTGGAAGCTTTTCCTCCAAATTATGAAACTGTGAAACTCCCTGTTCGAACACTCCACTCGTGAATTTTGGGTCACAACATTGAAGCACAGAAATTTGCGTATTACATCTACCCTCGAAATTTGCCTGACTATGAGCACAAAATATGCAGTGATTACCTTGCATGAAAATATGGCAAACAAAAAAAATACATATTTCTGAAAAGGAATGGCGATATATATATCACGGTACGCGCACCGTTTGATCTGATGTGCCAGACAATGGGTATTTCTCTTGTTTTCAATGCATAGGAAGAAACGGAATCGGAAACAATTTTTAAACCTAGCGGATTAGGCCTTTTTGACATTATATGCAGTTTAAGGCGAACACCACACTCGTTTTTAAACTGGTATTTAAAGACCGGCTAACATTATGCCGAACGTTCAAAAGTATCCGTTTCACATTGTTTATCTATGGAGCTGATGAAATAATTGACATTCTCGCGAAAATTTTGCTTTCTCCAGCTATAGGTTTGAACAGTTGCTACAAAAACATAGGATTTAAATGTTTTCTTGCCTAGTACTTTGTGAGGCTTTGTGAAATGTATCAAAACGTACGAGCAGTCGAGCACACATAAATAAAATATCGACCACTCCCCGTGTCCACTTGTAATGTTGTCTTCATATTGTAATTGTAGTGCATTCCGCGCATAAGGGTGCTAGTAACTCTTCACTATTTGTGAGCAGGACATTTCTCTTGTTTTACGTGGGAAAATGTATATTTACCAGTTAAATATTCTAGCGTCACCACCATATCGTTGACAAAACTTGATTGTAATTTTGATAGTATCTAAGTAAGATTCACCTTGATCTTTTGGTGCAACCTCGTAAACATGCGGATGTCATATTTTAAGTGCATGCAATTCTTTAACGATCCATAGCCGCTCATATTTTTTAGATATTTTTATCTATCGTGCATGATTGCCACCAGGTATATTCATGTCGAAGATAAATAAAACACAACCGGTGTATAGCAAAACGACGTAATTTGCTGACTTTTCGACTTTCTATCCAGAAAAACTTCATCAAGGCATGATATGGAAAGCACAGTATCGTAAATATATATATATAGAACAGAAAAAAGAAAAAGGCCGACCTCGTGAAGTAAACTACAAATGTCGTGTTTCACAACATAGGGATAAAATGCGGGTCTTTCTCGACTGCTGACAGGACGATTTTATCTGGTTTTCTTCAAAACTGGATCAAAATAAAATCCTTTAGTATGTTTAGGACGGTTGAAATGAACGTTTAGAGCAGGGGTCGGTAACCTTTTGTCGCTCGCGGGCCAACATTAAGGTTGCAAGTCATTGGCGGGCCGCACATATTTTTAGAAAGTTGATACATCTCTCGAATAGAATATAGATTTATTTCCTCATTACATCTCATAAAACCCCATTTGAATATATTCAGCGCCATTAAACCATTTGCACTTAGCATCAACTTTTCTGCGTTTTGTTGTCATTTGCTTAATTATAACTAAATTATATGCTCATTAAAAGAGTAATTGTGAATTATATAATTGTTAGGTTATAATATAATTTCGTCTAAAGAATATGTTCGTTTGAACGGATGTTTTGTTACTATAATTTAGTGAAGCGTCGAGAGCCGGATTATAGTGCTCCGCGGGCCGTAGGTTGCCGACCCCTGGTTTAGAGTTTTACCACTGCACAAGCTATATATATTAGTAAACTTGCTACACTTCAAAGATCATTTCGTCTAGTATAAGATAGACAGTTTTTAGTGAAGTAAGCAGTTTTCAATGCCATTCGTTGTATTCTGTTCCGTCTAACAACCCAATACCACGAAGTTGCAAGATATATAGACAACGTTTAAGCCGAGAGAGATCAAGTCACCATGAACAGACAAACTACATGGACATAAAAGAGAGTTACAAGGTGATGAAGTTTTAAAAAATAATTTTTGCAAGTATATATATATATATGTGACAAAATAATATTGCGAAAATCATAGTAAAACTGATTTGGGTTGAAGAAGTCAGTTCAGATTAATAATACATAATATATTTTCAAATTGGCTTTAATTATGGGAGATTATTTGTATGTTAAGTTAAAGTAACCACGACGTCATCAAATAGATGATAAATGACGTCATCACATCAGATGTACAGATCATAACACACTCCCTTGATAAATTCGACTCTCATATTGATGTAGATATACCAAGTCTGAGGGTGAACTCGGATAAATCGACAAGTGATTGGTTTTGGGAACATGTTGATTACCTTGGTGTCTACGTCAGAATTTCCTGCAAATATCTGGAGAAAACATAGAGGTGAACTGGTTTCATAATATGAAATGTATTTATTAAAATGGTTTGCTTCTAGCATAAAAGGCTTAATCGACCTATTTGCACATTCTACGTTTCTTCATCGGGTCTCATATTGTTTCATTATGCCAGTGAAAGGACAAAACGCTAAATATCAATATTCATTTTGGAGAAAATTTAAATATATTTTCAATGACTCCACAGAAGACGAACAAAATCTGCGTGCAATACAAGCAGTTAAGAAAAAAATAATTGAATTAATAAATTTATCTCAGCTTCCAGTTTCTACAAACTATCGTCTACCTTTCATATATTTTTGAAATACATTTTCGTGCGCTTCGGGTCAAAAAACAATTATCACATTTTCCCAAAATGTTCGCAAAAATCACATCCTGGGCGACGCAGGAACAAGGGTACAGCTACCTAACTTACCAGTACCGGTAGACTACCCTAGCTTTTCCAGGCCCAGTGGCGATGATGATTTATGCATCTATTCTCATCGTGAACCGAAATACCGAATGATTCGAGTCACACTTGCAATATCAAATCTTTTACAGTATCTGTAGCCTTGCGTACCTTATTATCTTACCGTCTACCTTCAGCTTATCCAAAGCTCTCGTTTTCGCTGACCAGGGGTTCGGTGACATACGATCGCGGAAATGCCACAAGTAAATTTTGATGACGTCACCATAATTTTTTTTAAGTGAAAAACGAATCCCATAGAGCTCAAAGAAATTTATGAAATGAATGAAAGCAATAGCTTTCTAGCGATAACAACAATCTTTTACCACAAAGAATTTTAAATTGGTCCGGTAGTTGAAGAGAAAAGCGATTTTTCACGACTACTTGAAAAAGAATAGCCAACAACAATATCATAATAACAAAACGATCAACCGTGTCCAATGAAAAGAATCACCGCAATAATGAGAATGTGAGGTGTCTTTAAAGTACCTTTTCTACCCCACTCTCTTGGATGGTAGCCAGAGAACTAGTGCTGAGACCACAAGATACTGTGAAAGACGCCACCCATTGTGCAACGGCATCTCTTCCTTGTGTAATGATTCCACCAACTAGTTCCGATCTTCCGAAGTCTACTTGAAGCCATTCGCCCTTTTGATCTGGCGGTAGAAAATCAAAAATGTACGTGATTTATTACATTCATATAAAGTTTATTTATTGTTTTATTTTCTATTACTAAAACTAACTTTTTTTGGCGACCATCTTCCACAATCTTCTGTTTTAGCTCTGTTATCAAGCCTTCCATGATACGCCTGATGATATTCGTCGTATATTGATGAAGCTGTAATAGCTGAGTCCGGTATATCTCTGCTCCTCATTCCCATATAACAGTATGTGCCTGTGTAGTGAAGGTTAAATATGAAAAAAAAATTAAAGTTCGAACACATAAAAACTTAAAATGTCAATGGAAGATAAGATTTGACATTGTCGATATTCAGACCATGCTTCTGTAACAGAGCGAAAATAACATAATGCAACAATTTTATATGATTGTATTTTGAATAAAGTTCAATGAAAAAGAAATTTCCCAAATAATTCAAAAGACAAATGGCATTGGAATACTTACTTCTTGGCAAAGCGTCAATGATCTGATTTGTCTTTGTAAGTGAATCTTAAAAAAGTATGAATTCGTGACAGTCATAGATAGAATAGAATCAATAGATTATTATTTTTATGCAAACCATTCGTTGTCGCTGGGTGATGCGCATGAGCATGGGTCGGTTACGGAAAGCCATGCATTTGGAACAAGTAACTTGTTATAATTTCTTATTGGAGCGAAGATAATAAATAGATATATAAGTCTATGTGTGACCATGATAAGCCTTCACCTTCAAGTTCTCTAATTCTTTCTTCCAGATTCTCAGCAGTTCCCTGTTCGCCCTTTTGGCCCTTCGCCCCTGTCGGTCCTATTTCACCAGGACTGCCTTGACATTGGCTCGAATCACAAATCAGCTGACCTGCGTCTCCATTTGCCACAACATGCGAGCAGAATTCATACACTGTTGGCATGTGACAGCTGGCTAAGTGTAGGAAAATGAAACGCAAAAAGCTAAAGTAATCTTCATATTCGCTTCGGAAAAAATTAAATGAAACGAATCGAATGTATTTCAAATATCAGCATTAGATATTAAAACTTTATACCAATAACGATTTATATACGCGGTGTGAGATTCATATCCAAGCTCCATAATTAGTCCTTTGTGAAAAAATGACTTCAAAAGAATTCTGCTAAGTTAATCCCACAAATTGAACGAACGGACATGCTAACGTGAACTGCTTTCGTAATTGCGCTAAACAAGACCCATAGATTTGAAAACTTCTCTAACACTCGGCCTATTAGTGATTTTTGTAAACTGTTTGTCAGAAGAAGTCTGATTTTGATCAGACGAAACGTTACAGAAATATATTTGTGTTAGTGTGTAGCAGGACTCTTGCATTATACGCATACGGATCCACTAGCGCAAAAACATTGAAAAAGATTTGGAGTTGGTCTCGCGCAACTTCTACTGATAGTTGTAATAAAAGGGTTGTGATATTAACATCTGGTTCCGTTATCTTTGCATCCGCGTACACGTGCACTTGTAAACTGCACCCAGGAAGTTTGCATATGCATACTTTTCAACCCACGGACATTTGTGAGTTAAGAAATTTGTACCTGTACGCCAGGTTTCATAAAGTCATAAGGCAGGGAACCCATGGCTCGCGAGCCATATATGATGACGGCATATGGCTCCCAGAAAAATCTGATATTCCAAGGCTAAAATTACAATTGTTACTACCAGATTTCAAACTATATAGTTATAGCCAAATTTGGGAGAACATTTGCCAATACGCTCGAGGACACGCGCTCAGCGCTTTTCTATGTTATGGTAAGAGAAGTGCCAGACAGGCATTGTGACAAACCTAGGGGATTCTGGAACATATTTTGTGATATCACGAAACGATGAAGTTGCGAAGCATAAAAGAAAAGCCTTCCGTCCGTTTGTACTGCTTATTTGTAATATTTGGATTATTTCAGGAACTACGGATATGCTTTAAAGAAAGAAAGGCGATGAGTATTGTGGATTTCAACATGTGTTGGATGTGAACAGTCGTTCAAGGACGACAACATGCAGCATCAAAAGTCATATTAGAAGTTCATTGAGACATTGTATGTGTTGACTTTTGAGTAAAAATTTAAGACATGATTAAGGAAAGGAAACCGCTGTATGGCTCGCACGGGGATGCAATTGAAAATATGTACCTTTTATGACTATGCTAATGATTTGGTTTCTGCGAGACTAACTACTTATCCTTCTTCTGTTCTTTTGTGCCGGCGGATCCGTATGACTATCTCGGCTAAAAAGGTTCTCGACCCCTGTCATAAGGTATAAGTGCCAGCTGGCCAAGTCAGCTGACCTGCGTCTCCATTTGCCACAACATGTGAGCAGAATTCATACACTGTTGGCATGTGACTGGCTAACTGTAGGAAAATGAAATATTCGGAAAAACATAAAATGAAACAAATCGATTGTATTTCAAATATCAGTATTTGATATTTGAAAATTCTATACCAATACCGTTTCATAGACGAGGTGTGAGATTCATATCCAAGTTTCTCCTCTCTTGTAAAAAAATGACTTCAACAAAATTCTACTAAATTAACCCCCAAGTGAACGAACGGACATGCTCACGTGAACTGCTTTCATTATCGCACTGAACAAGACCGTTAAATATTCAAGAACTTCTCTAACACTGTGCCTTGCGATGATGATACCTTGCGATTTCATTTATGTACAATGGGTTTAGTATTAAGTCCAGTTAGTACTTCTGACATAAGCATTCATTTATACAATTACACCAGATGTGTCCGTGTTACTTCGTTTGTTTTTACTTACTCTAAACCTGTCGAAAAACGTTAATTCCGTCATAAGCGTGTTTGCAAATTTCTGGCAATTAAGATAATTTGTTTAAAAGTACATGACGCCACACAACTCATGTTCGTGCCGATTGAGTTTAGTGACATATCAACAAATGTGAACATATATATAACCGTAGCATGTGTGCACCAAATAGTACAGCTACAGCTATTTGTCCAGCTTAATAAATGAAGTATCGGCAGTAAAACATTTTGATCTCCTAAAATTTGAGCGCGTCTTCAACAAGTTATATGGCATTGCCCCCAACAAAGAGGTATGTGTACCATCGCAGTCACGAGGTAATAAAATCGTTTCTAATACTGACTTCAATAAAATATTCTCAAATGTTGCCACAGCTGAAATTTTATTTCAGTAAATATAGGTTTTATACCAGTCAGGTGGTGTCGGACTAATGCACGGACTTTTAATATACAATGTCCACAGTGGTGGGATTCAAATTTTTTGTCAGCCGGTTCCATCCATACAAAAGTCATATTTTTCAGCCGGTTCTGTTACAAAAAGTCATGTCTTTTTCAGTAATGCTAACCGGTACGCTGATCTCATATAATTCCATAAGACGGTTCTATAGAACCGGTCCGAATCGGCTGAATCCCACTACTGAATATACATGATTATTGTTAAAAATGTCTTGGTTATATGTTAAGTTCTATACCCAAGCTATTATAGAATAAGGGTTCAACTGAATACGCTTACACTTCTTTACTACACCAGCATAACACACAACATGAGATGCTTACAGCAACAGAACAAACTAGGGAGTGATGCAACTGCGACACGTTAGACAGACTAGACTAGAACATCATTCGAAATCAGAGGGTTATCATTGTCATTGGCAACCGGAAGGTTGTTCGGCTTATAGTCAGACAAGAATGGAATATTTGGTTCCTATTTTTCGATACTACAACTTTCATCAGGACGGATATGAACTCGATTTCGTCTATATGTAACACTAGGGATGTAAGTTTCAGAATTTCGAATCGAAGCGATTCGAATCAACATCAATTCGAAGCAATTTGAGAAAAAACGGCTTAATTCTATTTAAAAAAATATTAATTTATATAACACGAGGCGGTTGCACGACGCAGCAGCGTTGTCTCATCATCGAACAAAAACCCTACGCTTACAGAGTTCCCAAGTCGTAACACTCCGGGGGTTGTTATATTTCATATGGGTCACTGCCTCAGAGGAAGCAATGGTTTCGTTAAATTGTTTTTAGACTATTCAAAATGTTAAGAAGTTCTACAAATATGTTTTTATATGAATATGTCTTTAAATTACTTAAGTTATATAATGTCATTATATCAACAACAATATTCCGCAATAGGTCTGCGATGCTTTCCTCGTTATCATTTGCTTTCTTTACAATCACGACGCAAGCGGTACTAACGCATATTTCACTGACGTTTATCATTAGGATGAATTTTAGAAGAAACCATCACTATACATCCGGTATTGTTTGCGAACATAAATTACTGTAATAAGTAAATATAACTGAGTGTAACTCTATATAGAAATAATACATATTCTCTAATATATTATGTAGTTGAAGCATCAATTTAATGTTTTCTTCAAACTTTACTCAAATACCTCAAGTTCATTATTGTTATTTAATCACTCTTTATGCTATAGTTCTTTCAAATCTAGGGAGAGTTAACGATAATATGATGTTATACTAATCAGATTCGAATCGGAACATTCCGATTCGGAATTCGATTCGAAAATAAAATATTCGAAACTTACATCCCTATGTAACACCATTCTTCGATTTGACAATGTAAATCCTGTAGCAATTCGTTTCACAGTAGTTTCTCTATTCCATCCCTTCCGTTCTGGATGTTGAAAATATACAGCTTCGCCCAAATTAAGTTCTGGCCTTGGTCTTGTAGATCTGTCATAACTCTTCTTCACGTTGTGCTTTCGGCGTAACGAATCATAATTTTTGTTTGGTTTCGTAATTGTAGGTATAATCGATCTTGTTGATCGACCAAACATAAGCTTTGAAGGACTGCTGGTCAAGTCTTGACGCGGCGTATTTCTTATTTCTAGAAGAGCTAGAAATTGATTGAGCGAATTTCAGATACCGCCGCCACCATGTTAATAATGTCTTGGTTATATGTTAAGTCCTATATCCAAGCTATTATAGAATAAGGGTTCAACTGAATACGCTTACATTTCTTTATTACACCAGCATAACACAGAACATAAGGTGCTTACAGCAACAGAACAAACGAGAATATCGGTCGGAGACCGAAGACTTATCGATCGAAACTGCGGTTTCGATTCATGACTTTATGGTGACACCAAGTGTCCCATCACTAATTAGTTAATAACATGCTAATTATACGACATAATTCATCCAAAATCAATAGGCTTCTGGTCCGAGATATGATGAATGCACATGCAAAATTTGGAGCAGATTTAACCACCTTCGTGAGATATCGCGTGCATCTAACAGACAGACAAACAGACAAATATCTATCAACATACTTATCGATCTTTAGCGAGTGACGCAACTGCGACACGTTTGCACTAGACAGATAGCACAATCAATCATTAGGGACGTTACTTGACAATGCATTATAAGCCATCACCAACAATTATGCTTGAATATTATCACAATACTTCTTTCCCATCTATGTCGGGAGACTGACTATTGTACATATCGTCGTTGTGCTATACCTCTTTGTCCTGTGTATTGTACAAGAGTTTTATTTGTATATTTCATGTCTGTTGTCCTACTATAACGCAGCAGTCCTAAACTGCAGTTATACTTGTTGGGGTACATGTCGCACATTCGTGTCTTAGGCCTGTAAGGTCTTGAACATGTATCCCGTCTCTGTTATACCGTTTAATTATTATGCAGATACTGTTACATTTTTGTTCTGTCATATATGTGTATGTCTGTGTATTGTACAAGAGTTTTATTTGTATATTTCATGTCTGTTGTTCTACTATAACGCAGCAGTCCTAAACTGCAGTTATACTTGTTGGGGTGCATGTCGCACATCCGTGTCTTAGGCCAGTAAGGTCTTGAACAAGTATCCCGTCTCTGTTATCTTATACCGTTTAATTATTATGCAGATACTGTTACATTTTTGTTCTGTCATATATGAATGGGGCGAAGATTTATGCTACATTTTAGTGACGATTGTAAACTTTCTTTTATTTAATCAATATTTATATAAGAACCATAAAATTCTTCTCATCGTTAATACTGGG